TGCATCCTTCTTTAATATAAGAACTAAAACATTAGACTGAGCTGCTTCAAGAGTTATTACAGATATTTAAAAGAATGATATGAATCCTGCTAGCTCCCACTGAAATGGTATTGGTTATCTCTGAACAGACTGCAGCCTCTACATGATCAAGGCAGTCCCAGATATATCTCATAGTAACAAACAGCAAATCTCTTTGTCTTAATGTTCATGTCAGGATACTAGAAACTCGACAGAATTCAAAGACAGTGACAATCGGTGATCTTGCTCCCTGAAATCACTCTATGTTGCCAAAATCATAGCCTTAAAGAGATTCCAAAAAATTCCCTAAGTTTTGCTTATATTTTCCCTAGCCTTACCAATTAACATAATCTTAATCGAAATTCCCCAATGTAGTATTATGATTTGCCCATTTAAAAATCTATTTTATCATATTTTGCCTAGCTTATCTTTTTTCTCCCCCTACACTGAAGTTAACTAAACATAAATCAAAATGACTCTGAGATTCAAACGGATTAATTATTTTAGAGAATGGCTAGTGCTATTCCACAAAATGTTACTTTATTTTTCAGGAGCTGTCATATGAGTCCTCTAGTTAATTTCACCTTTTGCCATAAATAGTATCCTATTTTTCAAAATATATTATTCTGCATTTAGAATTCCAAATCAAAGTGAAGTATCCCAAGAATGGAAAAACAAGCACCACATGTACTCACAATCAAATTGGTATTAAACTGATCAATACTTAAGTGCATATATAGTAGTAACATTCATCGGGTGTCAGGCAGATGGGAGGGGGGAGAAGGGAATGGGTATATACACACATAATGGGTGTGGTGCACACTGTCTGGGGGATGGACATGCTTGAAGCTCTGACTTGGGTGGGAAAAGGGCAATATATGTAACCTAAACATTTGTACCCCTGTAATATGCTGAAATAAAATAAAAATTAAAGAAAAGAATTCCAAATCAGCTAGCCAGAATGGAAACTAAAACTTAGACTTTGTGAACAAAAAAAGTAACAAAGATAGCATACTACATTATTGAGTTTCATTCACTAAATATGGAAAAATATATATTACAAACCATACCAGTAAACTCTCTTTTTTTATTCTCCATTTTCTAAGAAAATTCTTGCACAGAAGGGCCTGAGTTTGTTGACACACACTTATCTCTTTTTTAACCATTCTGTCCTGTTCATTGAGAAAGAGGGTAAATATTGCAGATCAATAACTGGGGTGAGAGACAAAAAAAAATCATAAATTTCAGTTATAAAAAGCCTTTGAACACTTTGAAAGCATAGGTTTAAGATGCACAATTAAATGCCTTATATGACATCGCAGTAACATATTCAATCAGGATTTTTTAAAAGATAATGAAGTATTGACGAATACGAAATGTACTCTCAGCTGGTATTTCTCTCCAGGCTTTATGGCTAGCAAGGAGATGGAGGCAATGGCGTAAGAGTCCTTTACCCTCTTGCCTC